GATGATCAGTGCCTGCAAGGGTGAGACCCCCAGTGACCCCTGGGTGACCCTGAGTCACCCCTGAGTGACCCCCAAGTGACCCTGAGTGACCCCTGGGTGACCCTGAGTGACCCTGAATAACCCTGAGTGACCCCTGGGTAACCCTGAGTGACCCCTGAGTGACCCCCAAGTGACCCTGAATAACCCTGAGTGACCCCTGGGTAACCCTGAGTGACTCTGAGTGACCCCTGAGTGACCCTGAGTGACCCCAAGTAACCCTGGGTGACCCTGAGTGACCCCGAGTGACCTCTGAGTGACCCTGAGTGACCCCAGGGTGACCCCTGAGTGACCCCTGGGTGACCTCTGAGTGACCCTGAGTAACCCTGAGGGACCCTCGGGTAACCCTGAGTGACCCTGAGTGACCTCTGAGTGACCCCTGGGTGACCCTGAGTGACCCTGAATAACCCTGAGTGACCCCTGGGTAACCCTGAGTGACCTCTGAGTGACCCCTGAGTGACCCTGAGTGACCCCAAGTAACCCTGGGTGACATCTGAGTGACCCTGAATAACCCTGAGTGACCCCTGGGTAACCCTGAGGGACCCTCGGGTAACCCTGAGTGACCCTGAGTGACCCCTAGTAACCCTGGGTGACATCTGAGTGACCCTGAATAACCCTGAGGGACCCCTGGGTGACCCCTGGGTGACCCTGAGTGACCCCAGGGTGACCCCTGGGTGACCTCTGAGTGACCCTGAGTAACCCTGAGGGACCCTCGGGTAACCCTGAGTGACCCTGAGTGACCCAGGTGACCCGTGAGTGACCCCAGGGTGACTCCGAGTGACCCAAGTGACCCCAGGGTGACCCTGATTGACCCCTGAGTGACCCCTGAGTGACCCCCGAGTGTCCCCAAGTGACCCCAGGGTGACCCCGGGGTGTCCCCGCTGTCCCCAGGTGAGCGGGGGGACATGGTGTCCTCCACCCTCAAGTTGGGCATCTCCATCCTCAACGGGGGCAACGCTGACGTGCAGCAGGTGAGGCCCCGCCGTGTCACACCTGTGTCCCCCCGTGTCACACCTGTGTCCCCGTGTCCCCTCTGTGCCCCCCGTGTCACACCTGTGTCCCCTTGTGTCCCTCACCTGTGTCCTCCTGTGTCCCCCCGTGTCTCCCTGTGTCCCCCCGTGTCACACCTGTGTCCCCACCTGTGTCTCCCCTGTCCTGTGTCCCCCTGTCCCTCACCTGTCCCACCTGTCCCGTCTCACCTGTCCCCATGTGTCCCATCTCACCTGTCCCCATGTGTCCCATCTCACCTGTCCCCTCACCTGTCCTGTCTCACCTGTCCCGTCTCACCTGTCCCATCTCACCTGTCCCCTCTCACCTGTCCCCTCTCACCTGTCCCCACGCGCCCCATCCCACCCGCC